TCTGGACTCTGGATTGCTCATCCCTAAATCTGTGTGGCAGTCAGTCTGCACAGAGGATGAGAGACACTGATGCTTACTTTTTATTTGTTGGTCATAGAGCTTGAACACGGTGCCTGGTTGCTGTCCCTGAGCTTCTTTTGCTTAAGTCTAGCTTCTACCACTTGAGCCACAGTGCCACTTCCAGAGCCTTTTCTGAGTAGTTCTTGGAGATAAGAGTCTCATGAACTTTCCAGGCTGGGCTGGCTTTGAAAGGTGATCCTCAATCTCAGCCTGAGTAGCTAAGATTACAGGTGTGAAGCACTACCCGTAACTAACTTGGTACTGAAGCAGTTGTCCAAATTTCAAGTTGAATTTTTTTTTTTTTTTGAGGGGGTGGTACTAGGGACCAAATTCAGGGCCTTGCATTTGCTAGGCAAGTACTCTACCACTTGAGCCACACTCTGGTCCTTTGGCTTTTTAGATTGTTTTTGAGATTAGGGTGCCACGCCACCTCCTGCGGAGTGGAGTCTGCGTGAGAGATCACGTTAGACAAAGAGCTTCAAGGAAGCATGCCTGCAGGAAGGGGATGTTGGTTCAAGGCTTCCCATACACTTGGCTGCACCTTTATAGCCTCTACCTTTATTCTTACTATATTCTTCTTGGCTGTACATTCATTGCCTTTATTCTCGTTTTTGGCTATTTTTCTATTGATCCACAAACAGAGCATGTTGTTTCTTTCCAGTCTAATAGAGACGGCTTCTCTAAATAATAAAGACTAGGACCAAAGATTAAATGTGGGCAATGCCCCAATCAATCTATCATCTGATGTGACGCTGCCTCCAGAAACTCCTACAACTTCACAAGCAGTTTTGCGGCTCACGCATAGTAAATACAGAAACTTAAAATTTCCAGATATGTTACATCAGGCAGAATTCATGAATTAAAATTAGAAGGAGTTATCCCAGAAGCTCAGAGAGTTCTAGAAAAAGGGACCCCTGATAATAAAAGGAAAAGAAAGATTCCCCCAACAGTTATGACTAAGTTTAGTCCAGCTTAAGTTATAGGGAATAGATGGTGGTTTCCCACAAAATATAAAGTTAGTGACATCACATTTCCTGAGCTGACCGATGAACCATTGCCTTATACAGGAGCTTATAAAGATGAAAATAGATGGATTCATGTAAAAGGAAAAAGGGCATTTTGGAACTCATTAGATTTTTATGCAAAGATTAGGTAGATCTAGATCATTATGGTGTTTATTATCAAAACAACAATAAAATAGTTTAAAATAACAATTAGAAATTTATGTGAACAAATATTGGGATCAAAATCATAGAAAACGGAAAATGCCTGACTCAACCTGGAAGTGGTTTTTAGGATGGTTTCAAAGAGACTTGAAAATATATGGAAAAAATAAAAAGAGTACAATATAAGTACAGCCCTGTCTTAGGTTTGTTAATTATTAAACATAAAAAGGCTGAATAGATGATGCACTGTATTAAACAATATGCTAGACTTGTTTCACACCACTTAGCTTAAACAGTTGGTGGACTAGTCATCAATTTTCATGTAATCCATCAGTGCTTTGCTTTTCTTAAAAATTGATTACGTGCTTAAATAAACAAAGAATCTATGTCACAATCGCACACTGTATAAAAATGTTAATTCTTCTCAATAAAGATACACTCAGATGCAACTCTTTTGAGTCTGTGTCTGTTTGTCACTTTGCCGACTCCTTGCCCACCTATCTCGAGATCCCTGTCCCGTCGGTCCCAGTGCTCCCGCCGAGCTGGTCTGTCGCATTAGGGCCTCCAGATTGATTGATTGGTTGATTGATTGATTGATTTTACCCAAACTGGTCCCAAACTTACCTGTCTGACACCCTTTCTCCCTCCCTCCCTCCTGTTCACTAGGATTACAGGCATCACACCATTAAAATAGGGAAATTTCTTACTAAACTTCCTACTTTCTCCCTCCCTCCCTCCCTCCCTCCCTCCCTCTCTCCCTCCCTCCCTCCTTCCCTTTCTGTTTGTCTCTCTCCTTCTGTCTCTCTCTCTATTTCTCTCTTTTCTCTACCCCCTCTCTCTCACCTTCCTCCCCCTCTCTTTTTTCCAGGGTCTGGGGCTTGAACTCAGGGCCTGGGCTCTGTCCCTGAGCCTCTCTGTGCTCAAGGCTGGCACTCTACCACTGAAACCACAGCACCACTTCTGGATTTTTCTAAGTAGTTTACTGGAGATAACAGCCTCATGGACTTTCCTGCCTGGGCAGGCTTGGAATTGTGATCCTCAGATCTCAGCCTCCTGAGTACCTAGGATTATAGCGTGAGCCTCCAGTACCTGGCTCCTACTTCTCTTTAAAAAATAAGAGATCTGGCAACTGGGACCACCCTCTTGAGAAGTAGGCCTCAAAGATTGGAAAGATGTCTTCTCTACTTCCCACAGGTCCCTCCATGTCCTCTTGTCTCTCCAACACCCTCTAAACAGCACCTGCTAATTATTCTCCCTTTCACAGCTACCACTTGGCTCACTTGGTCTCCTGTCCTTGTAACCCTTAGGTGCCACTTGCCAGGCCATTCTAGGATAGGCTACAGTCTGACTGTACCCAAGGGTGACCTTCCCTTTGAGTTGCCTGCTACCCTGTCACGGACCCTGCAGCTGGGCCTCTCTGGCCCCTGGTCACCTTCCACCATGGCCAGGAACTGGCTGGTGTTTGTTAAGTAGAGAGACCTAAAAATCAGTAGTGGGTAGAGCCAGGGACAGTTGTGGAAAGACAGCAGAGGGAGAAATGTGGCCCAGTAGGAAGGGCTATCTGGATGCAGCGGAAATAGAAAAAGCAGAACAGACTGAGGGCTGGGTCAGGAAGGGTAGGTGAAGAACTGTAGGGCACTGAGGAGGGGAGGCTAGGGATGGACGGGGTTGAGGGGGATGTGCAGGGACAAGGCAGCTGAGATGGAGGCATTAAGCTGTAGGATCCCTAGCCTCCTAGCTCCCCCATCTTGAAGGAAAGGAAGCCTAGATTACAGGGTCCTCTGTTCCTATTCCCAGGACACCTGGCTGCAGCTAAGGCCTGAGAAATGTCCCTAGGGCTATGGCCACAGGTGGCCTAGCACACTTCCTCCCAGGGGCCAGCAGCCCTACTTGCAAGGGAAGGCCACTCTTCAAATTGGTAAATCATCTCTTCCCCCATCTGGAGCCCTAAAGGGGTGCGGTGGGGGATGGTCCTTTCTTATTAATACCTGATAGTAGTCACCTTCCTTTCTATGCCCAAACCAAAGCCTTGCAAAACACCTGGGCCTGCATCTGAAAGGCTCTTTTATCTGAGCTGGCTCAGCCTTCCACTGCAGCCCTCACTTGCAGGCAAGGCCACCAAGGAGCTGCTGATGGCAAGAAGGCTACAGTTCTCACCTGCCACCTTCCCCCACTTCAGGCAAGTCTGTGGACCACAGGGAGTCCAAATTTGTCATGGGGATTGAAAGGTGTTTAAGGGCACAGTTTATCTCCCTTCCTCTGCTTCCCTTCCCCCATGGTCATAGAGATGTGGAAGAGCAAGTGTGAGATGGAGGGGGCGTGCACTGAGCCTTGGTCTCCTCTTTTGTTTGGTGGGAGCTCCAGAGAGAGCCATAAGCAGCCTACCTCTTGTCAGCACTAAAGAGACAGGAGGATGACCTTATTTGAGGTTTATTAATGATCAACCAGCAGAACACAGATGGGCAGGGGAGACCTGGGGGGAGACAGGGCCTGGAGGCTGGCCTGGCCGTAGCTACTGAGGTGATCCTGTGTCACTGGGGAACACTGTGTGCAAGGGACCAGGCTGTACATGCCTGCACCCGCCACCTCTCGGTGACTCACGGCACCCGGGGCTGCCCTCTGCCTTTATTCTCACACTAGGTCCTGGGACCTACACCCTGGAACAAAGTGACGACCCAGTATGGATTGTCTCTGAGTTTCCTGGCTGCCCTTGTCACCGATATAGCCAAGGCCCACTTCCCAGCATTTCTCAGGGCTGGAGGGAGCAGCAAGGGCTGCAAAGACTGGGGAGAAGGAAGGAGAGGGGCCCTGGGCCCATGCTTACGAGCCCTCATTCCCACCTCCATAGTGTGTGCTGCTGGGCCTCCTGCCACCCCACATCACAGGGCCCACCAGTGAAGGTGTGGCCCTTCTCTCCCCTTTCCTCCTTAGTCCCACCCCAGTGCTCTGAATCAGACCACTAGCAACTCTTGCCCGCCCCCTACAGGCCTCCCAGCTCTACCCTACCCAGTCTATGCTGCACAGACCCAAAGCCATAGTCAGTCTTATGCAAACCCCCTACACCCTGCCTTCCTGACTCCTACTCCTTGCTATTTCATTCCTTCTTGAACCCTCTTATTGCCTGTTAATGTCAACAGCTCCCAGTGGTCTGGTCTTTGCCCTAGAAGGTCAGCCTCTTCTTGACCCCATTTGCAGATGTGGCCCAGAGGCTCCCCTTTCTCTGTGAATCTCTTTTTCCAGGTTCCTAGTCCCTACCTCTTCTCTCCCCAACCCTCCCCCTCCCAGGGATCTTTCTCCCTACTTAATTGACCCACCCTTGGCCCAGAGCCTTAGAAACCCCTCAGAGCCTCTTACTTCCTTGAACCCCAGGTTCAGGTCTTATGACAGAGTGTGAAGACAGCTTCTGAGCAGAGAAGGGGGTCTGAACCATGAAGAGACATGACCATGTGTGACTGATGCTCCAAAGGAAGGGGAGCTGATGGGGGTCAGATTCTCTCTGCCCCCCTCCCCCAACTTCAACATGTGTAACTGCAAAGGGAAGGTTGAAGCGTTGAAGGTTGAAGGTTGGTGGTGTGTGTGTGTGTGTGTGTGTGTGTGTGTGTGTGTGTGTGTGTGTGTGTGTGTGTGTGTGTGTGTGTGTGTTTATATGTTGTAAGGGACCAGACAGGAGTTCCAGAAGCATCACTGTGGCAGCCTTCCACAGTCTCTCAGAATCTCAGCAGGCTTGGCCACCCCTTGTGGACGCTGGCAGGGCCACCTGTCCACCTTTCTGCCTCACATCATGGACTCCTCCTCCTCGGCGATCTCTCGGTCCACCTCGATGGCTGTGTTCTCGAAGCTGGTGATGCCCCCATACTTGCGCATGTGCACCATCAGCGGCTTTGGGGACTGGCTCCCGGCCAGCGTGGCCACGTACATGCCGGTCCGGTTCTCTTCCAGCGATGGGCCCCAGTCTATGGCTGGCCGACTGGCCTGCTGGAGCCGCTGCAGAAGAGCAAGGACAGAGGCTGGTGAGTGCTTCTCATGGTCAGCAAGGAGCTGCTGGCACCACCTGGCTGAGTTCTTGCAGCAATCCAGGGGAAAGCGGGTGAAGGAGACTCTACTACTTCCAGAGAGACTCCGGTGTCAGGACAAGGGTCTCCATGCCTTTTCCTTTGAATATTACGTTCAAGAGAGCTGGGATTCTCAGGAAAGAGCCGTGAACTGGGAGCATGGGGCAAGCTTGCTGCTGGCCTTCCCAAACACCAGTCTGATCTCTGCCTCTGCCCTTTCCCCCCTCCAAGCCCCAGTTTCCAGGGAGAGAGCTGACTAAGCGGATGACTAAGCTTGTGCGTTCCAGACCTGTGGCTTTCTCCGACCTGTCCCTGGGCCTCCAGGAGAACCATTTTACATCCCTGAGACAGGGAGGTGCTTGCCAGGGTGTGAAGCCCACTGACTGCAGATGCCAAGGGAGGTGAGGGTAATGACCCTGGCCTTGGCTGGGCATGACTCCATCTTCACAGCATTTACACGTATTAAGAGCTGGGAACCCTGCTGCTCAGAAACGTGCCCATGGCTTTTCTCCAGTGTTTACCGTGGCCTCTGTGACGTGTCTCCACTCTACCTCCTTGACCTCAGCCCCAGCCACTCATGTACTATTCACTCTGCGCCACTGATACCAGCCTCCTTGCTGCCTTCCAACAGGACAGCCCTTCCTGCCTGGGGCCTTTCCACCCATTCCCCGCTGTGAGGACCTCTATATGGCTTGCTATGTCCATTTTGCCAGATCTATCTGACTGCCCTGGCCAAAATGCCATCCCTCCATCACTCCTCCCCGCCCCCTGCTTTCTGTGTGTTTTCTAAGTATGTAACTTACCACCACTATCTGTTTATTGTTTGTCATAACAAACACTGAGGGCTGGAAATGTGGCTTGGTGGTAGAGTGCTTGCCTAGCCTGCATGAAGCCCTGGGTTCAATTCCTCAGTACCATATAAATAGAAAAGGCCAGAAGGGGCACTGTGGCTCAAGTGGTAAAATGCTAGACTTGTGCTAAAAGAAGCTCAGGGACAGTACCCAGACCCTGAGTTCAAGCCCCAGGACTGGCAAAAACAAACAAAAGGCCCACTGAGAGATATTTAGCCTCTACCTGCATCCTCTCCATGATAACAAATCATATCTGTGGACATTGCTAAATGCATCCTTGAGGGAAAAATCTCCCTCTGGGGGAACCCTCGGTCTAGATCAGAGCACTCAGCATGTGCTAGCTCTGTGCTACATAGGGGCTCATCTAATCTTTACAGTATCCAGATGAGAAGTAAGTCCCTCCCATCTCACAGATATGATATAAAAGTCCACTGAAGATTATTGAAGTTAGACAAGGTCATGTATGTGGCAAGTGGTGGACTTGGTGAACCTGAGCAATCTCTGATATTATTGCTATTATTATTATTATTATTATTTTGGTCAGCTGTGGGCCTTGAACTCAGGAATTGGTCACTGTCCCTGAGCTCTTTTGCTCAAGGCGAGTGCTCTACCACTTTGAGCCACAGTGCCACTTCTGGTTTTCTGGTGGTTAATTGGAGATAAGAGTTTCATGGACTGTCCAAGGCTGACTTTGAACTGCAATCCTCAGACCTCAGCCTCCTGAGTAGGTAGGATTACAGATGTGTCACTGGTGCCCAGCTCTGACCTTACTGTGAAGTTTTCAAATGCTCTTTCTTCTCCCTAATGGCAACTACATTGCTAAGTTCCATTTCTCCTCACAGTAGTCCTGTATGTGGGATTCACTCTCCTTATTTTAAAGATGGGCCAGGAGCTGGTGGCTCCTGTCTATAATTCTAGCTACTCAGGAGACTGAGATCTGAGGATCGCAAGTTGAAGCCAGCCTGGGCAGAAAATTCTTTGAGACTCTTATCTCCCATTAACAAGCAAAAAGCCTAAAGCAAAGGTATGGCTCAAGTGGTAGAGCACCAGCCTCGATGCAAAAGCTAATTGAGAGCTCAAGACCCTGAGTTCATGCCCCATTACCAGCACACCAAAACAACAACAACAAAAACAAATAAAAATAAAAATAGAGAAAACCAAGAATCATTCATGCGGCCGACAAATGGCAGAACCAGGCTCCGGACCCAGTGGGTCAGCACTAGAACCTGGGCCTCCGAAGGCAGTAGTTTTCCACAGTGCTGCCTGCCCTGGCTGGGGCTCCCGCAGGCCACCCCTCCCTGCCTGGGCCTTCTGAAGCAGAATGAGAGGAGAGCTAAAAGGCTGAGCCCATGGCTCCAGAGGCTCCTGACAAGGCTTGAGGGGCCTCTGTTTTCTCCCCTGAGCCAGCTGGTTCCCAAGGGAGGTATGTGCTCTCATCGGTGTGGGTGAGATCCTGAGGTTCAGAGAAGGAAAGGCCTTTACCCAAAGTCACACAGCAGCTGGAGGCAGAGCTATGGCTGGACTCCAGCTACCCTGTGGAGATTTCCATAGCGGTAGGGCACTGAGCCTTGGGTAGAGGCACAGAGGGGAGAAAGGCAGTTATATGGGCAGGTAGGTGGGAGCAGTGTGCTGGTAAACAAGCTGTACAGAAGGGCAGGTGCTCTGTGGCCAGTTTCAGTGACTACTCCTACAATTGCCAATTTCAACAACAGCCAGCCCACAGCCTTCCTGACTACTGAACAAATGGCTCTCACGAGCCAGGTCCAGCTGGATCCAGTATCCTCTGATGGGTGTGTTGGCCCACATCAGGGTCTTTACATTCCATTCCTGATGATAGCTTCTGGCACCAGAGGGGTGCACAACCACCGCTGAAGGGAAGGCTCAGTACACAGAGGGTGCCCTGAGGCTCAGAGAGGAATAGAAGCTTGCTGTGGGTCACACAGCACCGATACTGGTCCCCAAAGTGACACCACTCCCATCTTTTGAGGATCGTGACTGCTGTGTCAAATGGCTTGGACCTGCTCACCCCGACATCCTACCTCAGGCACCTGGGAGACACACACAAGGGTTCCTGGGCACTTTCTCTTTCTCTCTTTCCTTCCTTCCTTCCTTCCTTCCTTCCTTCTTCCCTCCCCCTTTCTTTCTCTTTTTCTTTCTTTTTTTTGGGGGGGCGGATAAAGGTATCTTCATATGGTGCTGAGGAATCAAACCCAGGGCCTCAGGCATGCAAGGCAAGCGCTCTACCACTGAGCCACCTTCCCAGCCCCTCTTTTTCTTTCTCTCTCTTTCTTTCTCTCTCTCTCTCTCCCTTCCTTCCTCCCCTCCCTCCCTCTCTCCCTCCTTTCTTCTTTCTTTCTTTCTTTCCTTCTTTCCTGGAGAAGATGTGGGGCAGGTATTTCCTCCTCCAGTTCCAGCCGCAGGTGGGCAGGGCAGGCAGACTCACCTCCCAGAGCGAGCCCTCCTCTCGTAGCACAGCCAGCAGCATGCCCGCTGGGATCATGAGGCAGGACAGCAGACCCATCAGGATGCCCAGCAGCTCGGCCCAGGCAGGGAAGCGGTAGCTGCCATACTCGGAGGGCTGGTACTTGACGATGCTGTACACCAGCAGGGCCTGCGGAGCGGGGACTCCAGCATCACATGTTGTGGGTGTTAGAGCCTGGGTCTGAGCTGCCTGATGGCCTGCGAGTACCTAGCCCAGAATGTGACCCAGGCTATCCCAGAACCTAATATGGTCCATCTCTGGAAACTTTGCAAGGCCTGAGCTAGCTCAGCTACAAGCTCATCAATGACCGAGGCCTGTGGCAACCCAGCTCTGCAACACAATAATTCCCAAGATGGCCTGTCCTGGAACCATCCTGCTCTAGGACTGGGACAGCCTAGCATCAAGGTCCAGTCCTGAGGCCTAGGAAAGCCCCTCTGACTCTGTCAGCCATGGGTAGGGAAAGGCCTGCCACAGGTGCAAAAATTGAGCCCTCCACAGGGGCAGTGTGGGCTAGGAACCCCATGTCCACCTCACCACCCTGAGGAGCCACCACTCTGGGCTAGCGTAACCCAACAGAGGAAATGGACACTCTTAGCCTGGAGACCCCGGCCAGCAATCCTCCCTCCCCCTCTGGTTACCAGGAGAGTGGCTGGAGACAGGAACAGCCAGCAGGCCCTGAAGTAGAGGCCCGGCTTGAAGCCTAGCATCATGTGGATGTCTCTGCAGAACCTCTGGATGCCTGCACAGGAGAGAGGAGGACAAATGGCCCCACCTGCAAGCCCCACCTCTCAGCAGCCCCTCTCCCAACTCAGCTGACCCCACCCAGAGCCCTGGTTCTTAGGCCAGGCACCCAGGCACAGGAGTTCCAGGCAGACCCTACTCTCCCACTCCAGAGAACTTCTCACCATACACCCGGGTGACAGCGAGACACGTGGTAATCACCACTACCATGAGGCCGAAGCTAGCACTGTAGTCATCCAGGAGAACCAGCCAGTACATGCCCCCCTGGAACACAAGGCACAGCCCTAAGTTGCCCAGCCTTGCTGAGCAGGAAGCAGCCAGGCTGGCAGGAGGGAGAGATGGGGACAGTGGGAAACTGTCTACCTGGCTATCCACAGCCTGCCCTGCTGGGACCCCCATTTGCTGATGAGGAAAGACAGGTTCAGGAAGGGAAGCCCCCTGTCTGGGGCCACTCAGCAAGGGCAGGAGTGAAGTATGAATCCAGGTCTTTCAAATTCACCTTCCTTTCTTCCCCCGCCCTTTCTCTCTTTTGTGCTGGTACTGGGGCTTGCTTGAACTGAGCCTGGGCATTGTCCCTTAGCTTTTTCACTCAAGGCTGGCACTCTACCACTTGTGCCACAGCTCTACTTTGGGCTTTGGGGTGGTTAATTGGCGGTTAAGAGTCTTGCGGACTTTCCTGCCCAGGGTGGCTTTGAACTATGGTTCTCAGATCTCAGTCTGCTGAGTAGCTAGATAACAAGGGTGAGTCACCAGTGGCTTGCCACATTAACCTTTCAAAGCTAGGATTTGACCATGAAAAAGATCAAACTGTCTCCTTTGGGAGACAGGACTTGGGGTGGAACAGGCTCCTCACCCAGAGGAAGACACAGGTGGTTTGGTGATGGATCTGCCTGTTAGAGAAGCTGCAATGAGCAATGGCCCTGCCCACCCAGCCTGGTGTCCCGTGAGAACTCACATCAGTGGTGAGAATCAGCCCCATCAGGTACATGGCCACACAGATGAGACCCGAGAACACTGCCTTCTTGGGCCGCAGGTAGTAGGGGAACTCATCTGTCACTGCTGTCACAATTGTCTCCAGAAAGGCGAACTGTGAGGAGGGAAGCTCGTAGGGGTCAGAGCTCTGTGCTACCCCGACGTGACGGTCCACTTCCACCCACTCCAGTTGACAAGACTTACCTGGCTGTCCAAGCCAAGAGTCAGGAGCATGAAGAAGAAGAGGAAGGACCAGAAAGGTGACAGAGGCAGCATGGTCATTGCCTGCGGGTAGACGACAAAGGCCAGGCCAGGGCCTGGGCCAAGGGCACCCAGGGTCAGCAGCTTGGGGCATGCAGCAGGCCCCATAGACACACTCAAATGCACATGGCCACTTGCACTTATTTGGGCACACTCATTTAGCCAAACCCAGAGACATCTACTAAGCATACTCTTTTGACACATTCTTAGCTCCCAGGAAGTAGGCTAGCACATTGTAGGTGCTCAATAAATACGAGCTGCTGGGTATCAGTGGCTCATGCGTAGGCTCATGCCTAGCTACTCAGGCGGCTGAGATCTGAGGATCCCAGTTCAAAGCCAGCCTGGGCAGGAAAATCTGTGAGACTTTTTAATTAACTACAAAAAAAAGCTAGAATGAAGCTGTGGCTCAAGTGGTAGAGCACCGTCTTGAGTGAAAAAGCTAAGGGACAACATCCAGACCCTGAGTTCAAGCCCTACTACTGGCACAAAAAAGAAACATAAATTGACACACTAGATGAATGGGTAAAAGAAATGTAAGTTGGCAGATTGAATGACTTAACAATGGGCTCATGAATAAACAGGATATGACTATAAAACCTCATCAAAATATGTCTGTACACAATCATTTGCACACATACTTACACACATCCATTGGCACAAGACACAATGATTCACAAGATCACTGTAACCCTTGATTCAATTGCTCAGAGACATCTCAACCAGGATGTGACTCCTTTGGACAAACAAGGCATGAAAAGTAAGACAGAAGCTTACCTCCAGATGCAGAGTGTACTCTCACACACCCTCCACACTTACTCCTTTGCATGAGGACACTCAGCAATCAAGACATGTCCTTTCACATGCACATGCATGTGTACACACACACACACACACACACACACACACACACACACACACACAGGACCCAGCCATCCACATCTTATTGGTCCATGTGTATGCTCCTGGCCCAGCCCCCACTGTGCCTGATACCCCTTCCCCCCACCTGCTGCCCACCTGCTTTGGCTACTTGATCGACAGGCACACCCAGCTCCTGAGACATGTAGCCCAGCACGGAGAAGATGGCGAAGCCAGCCAGGATACTGGTGATGGCGTTGCCCAGAGTGACAATGAAGGTGTCTCTGCCAGGAGAATCCAGGCACACAGAGCAACGTGAGCCAGCCACATTCGCCACCCATGAGGCCTTCCTGTCCAGCCACTGTCTTCATGGACTTGGTACAGGCTTTGGGCAATGTGGACACTGACCTGTATATGTTCTGGTGAAATGTGTTGTAGGAGGCAAAGGTGAGGAGACCCCCGAAGCCCACACCTAGGGAATAGAAGATCTGCAGGGCTGCTTCGATCCACACCTGTACCAGGGAAAGAGGGAGAAAGAGCACAGAGGGCCAGGGAGATGCAAGAAGGTGGGGCTAGGCTAGGTGACAGGTCTGGGTACCATGTGGGAAGAATGAGGTTCACAAGCTCCAGCCAGGAGCAAACCCTGCCCAGCACTCACACTGCATGCTCACGAGCAAGCTCCTCCCTCTCTGAGTCTCTTTCCCACTTAGGATCTAGCAGCTCTAAGCTTGATCCAGTCCTAACGGAAGTAGCACCTAATGTCAAGTTTCTAATAGATAATAAGCCCATGGGACCCCTCTACTTCCTGCCTGGAATCAAGGGAACTTGGGCTGGGCCCCATCTTCATCACTTTCTAGCTCTATGGCTGGAGCAAGCCACATCTCTGGACCGCAGGTCCCTCCTCTGTGACGATGGGAGCCGAGTAGTGTCTGCCTCACAGGGAGAAATGGTAAGGGTCAACTGTTACAACGTATGCCAGAGAAGATCAGAGTCACTGGTCAATAAATGACAAATGACAAATGACAGCTGTCAGGGCCATACTGCTCTCATTTTTATGCACAGCTGCTGTTCTTGGATTTGAAGTCGGACAGATAGGAAGGGAATCCCAGTCCTGTCATTCCCTAGCTGTGGGACCTTAAGCTTGTCATTAACCCCTGTGAACTTCAGTTTCATTGTTTACAAAATGGGAGGAATTGTGTCTACTTCATAGGATATTTAAGATTAATAATAAACAAAAACAAACAAATAAATAAAGGTATGGCTCAAATAGTAGAGTACTTGGCAAAAAAGCCAAGCAAGAGTATGAAGCCCTGAGTTTGAGCCCTAGGCTTAAAAAAAAAAAATGAGAGGGCTCAGTGGTAGAGTGCTTGCCTCCCACGCATGAGGCCCTGGGCTCGATTCCTCATCACCATATAAGCAGAAAAAGCCAGAAGTGGCACTGTAGCTCAGGTGGTAGAGCACTAGCCTTGAGCTGAAGAGTTGAGGGACAGCACACAGACCCAGAGTTCAGGTCCCACAACCAGCAAACAATAAATAAAAGAGAAGGGGGGGAAAGGAGAGAGAGAGAGGAAGAAAGGAAGAGAGAAAATGAAACAGAAAGAAGCAAAGAAGGAAGGAAGGAAGGAAGGAAGGAAGGAAGGAAGGAAGGAAGGAAGGAAGGAAGGAAGGATGGAAGGAAGGAAGAGAAGAAGGAAGGGAGGGAAGAAGGAAGTGAGGAAGGGAGGGAGGGAGGGAGAGAGGGAGGGAGAGAGGAAGGGAGAGAGGGAGGGAGAGAGAAAGAAAATAACAACAAAAAGTTCCTAGCCAGGTGTCTGGCTATACTCCTAGCTATTCAGGAGGCTGAGATCTATATCTCCAATTAACCATAAAAATGCTGGAAGTGGGCTGTGGCTCAAAGGGTAGAGCATCAGCCCTAAGAGTGAAAAAGCCCATCAAGAGCCCAAGTTTCTGAGTTTAAACCCCAGTAGTAGTGTGTGCAGCATGCACACGTGCACACACACACACACACACACACACACACACACACACACACACACACAGAATAATAATGACAAGGACCCAGGCCCATAGGAAGGGCCTGGGACAGTATCTACTGCTGGGGGCTTTCTGCCACCTCTTCCCACTCCTTGAACTAGACCTGACCCCACCCTCCAAGCCCCAGCACCATGAGGCGTTACCTTGGAAGACAGCAGGTGGTGGAACTGGGGGGTGAGATAGAACTGGATGCCCTTCCAGGCCCCTGGAAGAGTCACCCCGCGAACCAGCAGCATGAGCAGAATGAGGTAGGGGAATGTGGCTGTGAAATACACCACCTGAGAGACAAGAAATGGGGCGTAAAACAAGAGCTCTTTACCCCACTCCTTCCGCTTAGAGACGCGCCTCCCTGGCCTTTAAGTGGCCCGAGCCAGGAGCCAGCTGCCATTCAGGATGATCTTCTTCCCTCTGTCCTGATTACCACCCACCTAACTAGCAAAGTGCTGGTGCTCAGTTTCCTATGGCATCCCAGATCTGTCTCCACTGCCCTGGTGATGCAGGCCACCAGCATGGCTGACAAAAGCCTCCCCTGCACACCACTCCCCATGGCTGTCAGACATTTAACCTCCTCTAACCCAGTTGCCGGCCTCCAAACCAACAGAGTCTCAACATCCTCACTGCCTCAGTCATGACCCTGACCACTCCCCCCCTCTTTCTAAATACTTTCCACCCTGTCATTTTGGTCTTTTAATAGTTCATGCTCCTCGAGGACACCACCACTCCCCCAGCAAGGTCAAGTTCTAATTTATAAATGGCTAAATGAAACATCAACATGTCCTGGAATAGCCCCATTGACCTGCCCACCTCCTTGTCATCTCCAGGGGTCACCAGTGGCCTTGTCTCTCTCACATCTAGTCTGCCTCCTCCAGATAACAGTACACAAACGCTCCCTGCATTCACTCCAGGCCCAGCTGCATGGGTGGCCACATGATTCAGGCCCAGCCAAGCAGAGCATGCTGTCACTCTGAACAGAGCCTCTTCCCAGCCAGGCCTCAGGCCTCCGGACTTCCCAGGCCTCACCTTGCCCGAGGACTTCACTCCCTTGAGGATGCAGAGGAACACGATGACCCAGGCCAGCAACAGGCAGAGGCAGAGGTTCCAGCGGATCTCCCCGGGCCTGCCGATGCCTTGGCTGCCCTGGATGTGCAGGACGTAGCGGCTGTGGGAGACAGAGGTCCCAGTGCCCTCTAGCCACCCGCCATGCTCCACAGTCATGGGACAAAGCCATGTCCAGCCTCCCAGGCCTCACTGGCTGTATTCCATATGACCCTTTCCTTCTCTGACAGGCTGTGAGTCCTGGAGTTGGCTGCCGAGTCCTCTACTAACCCTCACCTAACTCCCCAACTTCTGTGCTTCCATGCTGGCCAATCAAACTGCAGGGGGAATGAGGGGTCTGGATGTCTGCATGCATGAACATATACACACGTGTACATACATACACGGACATGTGCACATACATGTACACACATGCATGTTGACACTATCAGAAGCTTAGCCATTAGTCTGCTCTTATGAGTCCTAGTTTCTTCAAGATAGCCCCTTTTCCAAGGTCCCCATTCCTCACCCCTGCCTCCACCATTGGTCTTAAGTGATAACGGCTCTCCCTATTTTCCTCTTCCTTGTAGAGTCCTCAACCTTCTATAAACACCCTCCTGGCCAGAGCTCTTGGCAGTGCCATCTATTCCCTGCCCACCAGGAGCTGTGGTGTTGCCACAGTGACCTCTAGCATCTGCAGTGAGGGGTTTTTTTTTGTTTGTTTGTTTTTGGTCGGTCTTGGGACTTGAACTCTGGGCCTGGGCACTGTCCCTGCGCTCATCAGCTCAAGGCCAGTGCTCTACCACTTGAGCCACAGTGCCACTTCCAGTTTTCTAGTGGTTTATTGGAGAGAAGAGTCTCACGGACTTTCCTGCCCAGGCTGGCTTTGAACCATGATCCTCAGATCTCAGCCTCCTGAGTAGCTAGGATTACAGGCGTGAGCCACCAGCGGCCGGTTTGCAATGAGTTCTTTGGCTTTGTGCTTTGCACCCCAGTCCATGCTCCCGAGAGTCAGACACTCTTCAGTAGGCCAGGCCATCTTCTGGATGGCTTTGAAATGAATACAGTTATGAACTACACAGTCCCTGCAGACTTGAAGCAAGGACAGCTCAAGACATAGGCCCTTTTGGGAGAAATCCCACAGAACAGCCCTTTGCAGGAGAAGGAAGGGAATATGTGATCTGTTCTCTGGCCAGCCAGTGGTTCCTACCCAGGAGCTAGACTATTCCAGAATGTTCCAGAACAGGGTTGGGAGTTGAGAGTACCTAGTGTTCACACTGCCCCTATGGAGCAAGACTCTGGGCCTTGTTTTCCCACTGGAACAGTGGGGCACCGAGAATGGCTGATGAACCTCCATGTCCTTCTGCCATTCCCAAGGCTCCCGATGTTCCTGGCACTGGAGTGATGGCTGTGTTAAGGACACTGGGTGTAAATCTGACAACAATCCTTTAGTCTCATCTCTCCTAGACTAACCCAAGATCATTAGCATGTGTGTGTGTGTGTGTGTGTGTGTGTGTGTGTGTGTGTGTGTGTGTATGTGTGTGTGTGTGTGTGTGTGTGTGAGAGAGAGAGAGAGAAAGAGAGAATGTATGTGTCATCTATGTCTCTGATGATCAATATGGGGGGGAAGATAAAGCATTCAGTGTTTTTTTTATCTTTGGGAATAGAAGGGGAGGCACAGAATTGTTCACAAAGAGTGAACAAATGCAGTAATGGTGCTCACTGGATACTATGTTGAAATGAACTATACAACTATACAAGGGGATGAGAGGAGAAAACTGGGAGAGAATCAGGGAAGGGGTGTCAGTGTCTAAAAAGAAATGTACTCTTTAAATTATTTATAAAACTGCAACCCCTCTGTACATCAGCTTTATAATAACAATTAAAAATTAAAAAGAAAAGAATGTTCTCTGAGTAAAATACAATTATGTGCATATCTGAAATGCCATGGTGAAATATATTTTTATTTTTATTATTTGCTTGTATGTGTGTACATGCGTGTGTGTGTGCACCCACACCTGTGCACCAGTGCCAGTCCTGGATTGAATACAGGGCCTATGTGCTGCCCTTGAGTTTTTGAGCTCAAAGCTAGACTGTACCACTTGAGCCACAGCTCCACTTCCAGATTTTTACTGGTTAATTAGAAATGAGTGCCTCACAGACTTTTCTGCCAGGACTGGCTTAAAACCACAATCCTCAGATTTTAGCCTCTTGAGTAACTAGGATTATAGGCATGAGCCACTGATGCCTAGCAGGTGCAAGTTTAATACGCATTAAAAATATGAATGCCAAGAAATTAAAATAGTCAGTGTTGGGGGAGTGGGTGCTAACAAGGAGGGGTATATGAGGATGAATATGGTCAAAGTAGTTTGCATGTAGGAAAATAGAACAATGAAACCTGATGGGATTGTTTTAAGAAGGGAGGGAGTAAAGGAGAGTGACTGGGAGTTGATATTGATTGAAATACATCTGTACATGTGTGAAAATGTCGGAATGAACTCCCCCTTTTAAAACTACTGTATGCTAATTAAAAACCAAAGAATGGATGAATCAAGTGTGGTGCACAACTGTAATCTTAGACTCAGGAAGTCAAGGCTTCTATGCCATTCTGGGCTACATAGTGAGACTCAGGAAGGGAGGGAGGGAGGGAGGAAGGGAGGGAGAGAGGGAGGGAAGGAGGGAGGGAGGGGGAGAGGGATTACAAGCTCATGCCTGTAATCCTAGCTACTCAGGAGGCCAAAATGAGAATCCCAGTTTGAAGCCAACCTGAACAGACTCTTATCTCTAATTAACACAAAAAGCCAGAGCGCTATTCCCTCCCCCGCCTCCCCCGCCTCCACACACAAATATTGTTAGAGGAGGAAATTGACTCTAAAATGTCACTATTGCCACATTCCACCCCCTCCCCCAACATCCCCAATGGTGGGGCTTGAACTCAGGGACTGGATACTGTCCCTGAGTTTCTGCTCAAGGCTAGTGCTCTACTATTTTGAGCCACAGCTCTACTTCCAATTTTCCAGAGATTAATTGGAGATAAGTGTGTCACAGAATTTCCTGGCCAGGCTGGCTTTGAACAGTGATTCTCAGATCTCAGCCTCTTGCGTGGCTAGGATGGCAGGCATGAGCCACTGGCGCTTGGCTACTGCTTTCTTTTCAGCATCATTATTGTTGCTGGCATTTATTGAGCACTTGCTATCACACACTGGACTGCACAATTGGTACCTATCCTTTCCCATAATCTTCCCAACAACAACTTGCTGAAATAGCGAGTCCCTGTGTCCCTGTTTTAAAGACAAAGCAAGAGAAGTCAAATAAATTATTCATGATCACACATCCGGTGAGGCGAGAAGCTGAGATTAGAACTCAGAGTTCTCCCCAACTCTTACACCTAGACTCTCTTCAGAGTGCTCCTAGCTCCTTGGGGATGCCAGTGTCTCCCTACCCTCTCCCTGCCCACCCTCAGGGGTGGCAGAAGGGCCCCGCTGGCCATGCAGGTCCAGCTGTCTGACCTCCAATACTCCTCGCTGGGGCTGACAGTGCTGGTGAAGTTGAGGGGCAGTGTGCCATTGCCACCCTTGGGGCCCCTGTGCTCCAGGCAGCGCTCTGTGTTCCACCAGTTACCACAGTGCTCCCAGGGCAGGTCGCTGGTGAGGGAGGCGAAGAGGTAGAAGAGGACGTAGGCGATGATCATGTTGTAGTAGATGGCCACCAGGCCTACAATGAGCAGCATGGCTGCGCCGGCACCTGGTGGGGGGAGAACCATCATCTCTCTAGGCTTCCACTTTCTTCTCTGCCTGGAGCAGGGGTGGTGGGGGGTGATGAGGCCTCACCTTTGAAGAGGGGGCTGATTTTCCAGACAGCCAGTGGCCCCAGGCTGGAAAACTGGCCCAAGGAGAGCTCAAGGAAGAAGAGGGGGATGCCGCAGATGGCCAGCATGAGGAAGTAGGGTACAAGGAAGGCGCCTGCAAGGAGGAGAGAAGGTTGAGAGGGACTCGGGTGGGTTAGCTTCCCTCCAAAGCCAAGCTCTGGCCCACTTCCCCCTATAGCCATTACTCGCCAGGAGATGGAACCGTGAACCTGCAGGTCACTGAGGACTGAGAGGGCTGGCAGGGATTTACTCGATAGCTAACTAGCCCTGGTGCCCAGCACAGAGCTGGATTAAAAGAAGAGATGCTTTTTGAGTGAGTAAGTAAATGAGGGAGTGAGTGGATGAAGGAAAGAGTAAATGAAGGAGAGGAAGAAAGCATTTCCTACTGGAGAGAGAAAACTTCTCAATACAAAATCAATGCTTTCAGAGCCTGGGCTCCCTGTGTGTCTCTTTCCTGGCTCCCTCCTGTGGTTTGGGGGACCCTATATCCTTTTCCCTTTTCTTCCTATAAGGAAGCCACCTCCTTCAGAGAGCTGCCCACCATGGGCTGTGGAGGGGCTTCATTCATCCTAGCTAACCCCCTGCCCCTTTCTCCTGCACCTCCTCTATGTCCCCCAAACCAGGCCAACCAGAGACATTCTCAGTAATTTCTCTGAAATCCTGACAAAGTCACAGCAGAGGCATCCATGAGGAAGACTGCGTGTCTCAGAGACAAGTGGGTTTAAAACCCTGGGAAGGGTAAAGAAGTTAGGAGGAGAGAAGAGGGGCAGCCGTGGATATGGGGAGTCCCCAGAGTCTCAATCTCCCATCCCTTGTCTTACAAATGTATTTATTTTGCTTTGTCTAGTTTTATCTGGATTTCTCTCACTTGATTAATATCCATCTTGGAACATATTTAATAGACAATTAGAAGTCCAGGGAGCCCATGAGAAAGCAGTATGCCGTGGAATACCAGCTCCATCCCCTATGACTTTGGACGGAGAACTTGGCCCCCTCAGACCCGGGCTGCTTCAGCATTTGTCTGGTGTCTCTCTGGGAGAGCTGTCATCCAGTTTAATGAGGCAGGCACCAAGCTGCAGGCCTGTAGGTGGAAAGCATTCAACCCTAGCTATTGTGAATGGATCTCGGAACAGCAACTTGATGGAGAAGCTGGGATAATAGGAAGTTTTTGTAAGATGGGAGCAATCTCATGTATGCAATCTGAATGAAAAGTAGGGGAGAAGGAAATGGTGCAGATCCAAGAGAGGGAATGATTGATGGAGCACGGCTCTGGAGGAAGGGATGGAAGAATATTAGAAGCATGGTGATTATTGACAGGCAGACAGAACCCTTTATCTCCAAGCACAGGCAGCTTCTTCTGCCCACCTCATGCAGCCCAGGGAGTATGGAGCTTCAGGGAGAAACCCATGTAGACATCAGTCCTGGGGATAAGAGGAGGAAGAAGGGGCCTGGGTAATAGAAAAGGATAAGGCAGAGGAAGTTCCATCCTCACAGCCCAAGGTCAAATGGCTGAGGCTACCCAAAGGCTCATTCCACCCCAGGGCCTTGGCCCACCACCCCAGACACCCCTCAGGACCTCAGGCCCACACCTCCTCCGTTGGTGTAGGCTCGGTAAGGGAACCGCCACACATTCCCCAGGCCCACACAATAGCCGATGCAGGAGAGCAGGAAGTCCAGCTTGCCCGTCCAGTTCCCCCGGTCTGCAGCAAAGTCCACATCCAGATCCACATCACCCTGGTCACTGGGGGTCATCAGCAGGTCTGGGGTGACAGGCTGCCAGTAAAAGAGACCAAAATGAGCCAAGTACTGGTGGCTCCCATAAATAATCCTAGCTACTCATGAGGCTGAGATATGAGGATCATAGCTCAAAGCCAGGCTGTGCTGGATGGTCTGTGAGACTTTTACCTTTAGTTACCTATCAAAATGCTGAAAGTGGAGTTGTGGCACAAGTGGTAGAACACTAGCCTGGAATGAAAAAGCTAAGGGACAATGCCCTGGCCCTGAGTTCAAGCTCTAGTACTAGCATAAAAGACAGACAGACAGGCAGACACAGACAGACAGACAGAGACCAAAGTAGAGAGGGAGGAGGAGGAAGCCAAGCTGGAACTGGGGCTTCTAGCCAAAAATATGAACTTGGACAGGGATGAATGGAGAGGCTTTGAGGGTTCAGATAGTTAAGTGCTCCCAGTCAGGCTCATGTGGCCCTGAGCAAGGATCTTAGGGAGCAGCAGGGTGCTCTAGCACTGACAACACTTCCTGGTCTCATCTGAGCTCACAGGGCTAAACCAAGAATGGCTGGCTATATTTTGATGATGATCAGTAATGGCTCACTGCATTAAATATTTTATTCACATTGCACGATTTCATTCTCAAGTCTATGAGCTAAATACTTATCAAAGCTCCATGCTAAGCATGAGGAAATCTGAGGCTCAAAGAGCTGGTTAGCTCCTGGGGGAACTCACCAAGACGTGATAATGGCTATCTTCAGCCACTGAGCTGGAGTTTTGTCTCCATTCTGGGCACTTAATTGTAAGAAAGACACAGTGTAGAACATGTCCAAAGGGCAGATGGCCAAACTGGAAGGTGTTCAAGAAAACAGGTTATGGGGTGGGGGGAGAAGCCCAGTACTCTTAGCATAGGAAGCAAAGAAGTTGACAGAACCCCAACTCTCCAAGGGGAGGAAGGCTTAGACTTATGCCCTGTGACTCAAGGGGTCCTGTTGATGACCATAGATTCTGCTTCATGAGCAGGAAAAACATTCTTAAGCCCTGATCTGTTTCAGAAAGCCCTAATCTTGCTGTCACTAGAAGAAAGATAAATGTAGAAGGGAATGGAGGCCAGCTGTTCTTAATGAATGTCCCCTTCTGTGAGTGGGTGGAAAGCTCCACTGGGCATTTGCCCTTCTAGCAGGGGCTAGAGGATGAGGCCCAGGTCCAGCCACATGGGATCCTAGCCTAAAGAGATACCAGTTGACATGTGTATGGTTTCCCAAGCTTGGCACATGGAAGGAAGCCCAGCAACATGAGGAGGACCACCTAAAATTCAGGGACAGTTACAGCAAGTGACCCAGGAATGGGTCAGGCTAAAGGGGCGACCACACTCTGCCTGACTGCCTCTGAAATTCATACCCTAAGGCAGAGAAAAGTGGAAATGTGAAGGTCAGTTAGTATTCTCCAAGGTCTTCAGAAAGGAGAAGGGACCTCTCCCACTCCTGTGAAGAAATGCCAGTAGGAAAACCACACCACCACTGGCTTGGGAGTCAGAGGATGGCTATTCCAGTTCAAGGTCTGTGCTAATACACTGCATAACTTTAGGAGTCTTTTACGCCTCAGTTTCCCTATCCGGACAATAAGGGCATTATACTGATCATAGTTTTCAATAATGTTATTGAAACATCCTTTAACATCATGGGTATTCTGTGGGAAAAGGATGTTTAAGTCAAAGAAGCTTTGGAAAAACTGGGTTAACACCAGTGAAATATGTTTTGCTGGGCATCAGTGGCTCATGCCTGTAATCCTACCTATTTGGGAGGCTGAGATCTGAGGATTGAGGCTTGAAGCTAGTCTGAGCATGAAAGTCTGTGAGACTTTTTTTTTTTATCTTCAATTAAGCAATATAAAGCTGGAAGTGAGCTGTGACTAAAGCGATAAAGTGCCAGCCTTGAGCAAAAGAGCCAAGGGACAGAGCCCAGGCCCCGAGTTCAAGCCCCAATACCAGCATATGTGTGTATGTATATGTGTGTGCACATGCATGTGTGCATGCACACACACATATACACACATATGCTGCTTTGCTAACAAACTTGTCAGATCCTTTCATGAACCTATACTCACAGTGACTATCCACACAGGGTTAGAATGCAGTAGTCTCAATTTTACGTAAGATATGGGTCTCAAGGAGCAAGCATGCTAGGATGTACATACTTGGGGAACTGTGGCTCTAGACAGTCACAGCAGTGCTGGGTTCAAGGTGGGGAGAGTGGGACTGGTGTAGCTTAGTGGTAGAGACTTTTCCCTGGGCTCTCTTCACAGGCAGAAGAGAAGGGATGGTGCAAGAGTCACAGGATTGGAGGTATCTGCTGAGTTGGGGTGATCCCAGCAGAGTTGGGATCAGGTGGCAGTATTGGGACAACCATGATGCATTCCCTCTCAGTGACCATGGTGACCACAGTGGTGATCTTATCTGTGGGCAGTGGTGACATGATTATAGGTGACTGTGACAACAAAAACTGCTTTGAGAGTCACTAGGCCCAAAGGTCGAGACACACATGAACTAGACTGGTGGTTGTTTGCTGTGGTCTGGGCCTTACTTGTGTAGGGGTGGCAGCAGCTCCACATTTACCTGGACCCTCTCTTTCCCTAAGGTGGCAGAGCATCAGCCTTCCGGAACCTCTGACTCCGAGGCCAGTGCTAGGAGGGATGTGGCAGCTGACACTGGCTCTGACACCCGTGTCAAGGCAGGCCTGTCATCTGAAGACCCTCCAGCCTCATTCAGGACAGCTGGCAGGAGGTCCTGGTAATGAGGTTCTTCTGATCCCTCCAAAGAAGCTGCCCTTTCCACGCTCACAAAGCGGTCCTCAGCTCTGTTTCCATGACGACAAGAGTTCTAAGAGCAGGATGCTGCCAGCTTGTCCCCCTCCTCCCCCAATCAGAGGAAAGCTTGCTTGGGCCCCAGAGTAAAGGGAATGGGGTCCTCCAAAGCTGAGCCAATCAGACACCGATCTGGAGCTCCACCCTACTCCATCATGGAGTAAATCTCAGGAGGCTGACAGTGAAGATGGGGCTTTTTGGGCGACAGATAACAGCAATCAAATTATTGGGTAGGGTTCAAGCTATCTGAGTACTTCACATTTCCACTTGAGTGGGAGTCCTTGCTCCCAACTCCCCCCTCACCCACACTCTAGGAGCATGCAGGAACATACACCTGAGCAATACATGGAGTCCCCCCCACCCCCAGGGACTGGGGGAGGCAGGATTGGCCAAGCCAAGGCTCTTGCACCTTCTTCACGACAGAAAGACAATAGGAATCTGGAATTCAACTTCATCATTGTGTAGACAAGAAAACAGTTTCAGGGAAAAAAGCATGAGCCCAAGGTCAAACAGCAAGTTAAGGGCAGAGCAAGATTAGGGCTCCATATCCTTTGAAATGTCCCTAGCACTAACTGGTTGGTTCTAGTTTTCTAGCTCACCTCCAGTGAAACAGAGAGCCTTAGAGAGCCTTGGCCCTCTGTGCCTCAGTTGCCCTATCTATAAAATGTGATGGTAGGGGGCTGGGAAGGTGGCTCAGTGGTAGAGCGCTTGCCTTGCATGCATGAGGCCCTGGGTTCGATTCCTCAGCACCACATAGGCAAAAAGAAAAAAGCCGGAAGTGGCGCTGTGGCTCAAGTGGTAGAGCGCTAGCCTTGATCTGAAGAGCTGAGGGACAGCGCCCAGGCCCAGAGTTCAGGCCCCAGGACCGGACCCCCCCCCCAAAAAAAAATGTGATGGTAGGATCTAAGGCCTCAGAGTCATTGGAGACTAAATGAGATAAGGCCAGCTAAGCTCCCAGCTAGCACCCAGCAAGAGTTTCCTAACACTATTTATATAATGTGTGCTCTCTGTCAGAGAGGGGCAGGGGCTCTCTTGGGGAGGGAGTAAAAGGGAAGAGACCAGTGGAAAAAATAGAGACAGGATCCAAGAGGACACACAAATGGCCCCAAGAAGTCACTAATGCCAGCCAGTAAAAAAAGACTAACTTACCCCCAGTGGTTCCATGCCTTGAAAACAGAGAGCTTGTGTGTGTGTTTATGTGTTTGTGGGGGGGGGGGGGAGGGAGAGGCCCTTTCAAAGTCTCCTCACACCCACCTGCCCCTTCCATCCACACCCCTAGCATTCCTGCTCCCAACCCCAGTGGGGGAGGGGCTTTGGTATGTCCACACTGGGGATGGTTAGGGAATGAACTAGCCCAAAGTCACCAGCCTAAGGGGCCTGGTGCAAAAACAGTCATCGGGCGTTCCTTGGCTAAGGTAGGTTCTTTTAAATCAAAAGCCAGAAAACTCTCTCTTCTCTCCACAGCAACTTGTCTGGGAGGCGCAGTCTCACTGGCACCAGGAGGGGAGAGGCTGAGATTGGGAATCCAGTTTCTATCTCTACCTGCTGTCAGCCTTGCAAAGGGAGAGCTGGGGGGATTCGGCCTGGGGGCTCACAGGGAAGGACAGGCCGCCAGGGAAAGGAGGTCCTGAGGGGACGCAGGTGAGGGTCCTTGGTGTCCATATCCCCCTCTCCTCCCCAATAGGAGTCCGACTGGAGGCTGGTGCTCAGCTTCCAACAGTCCCACCCCGCAGTCAGCCCCTGGGGGGAGCAGGCAAGGAGGGGAGAGGAGAGGCGGGTGGACCCCCAACGATTGATCGAGGCCGTGGACACCTGTTCGCAGGGCTGGGCCCGGTGAACACCGGCTCCCCAGCCCGGACACATCCCACCCCCGGGTGGCGAGGCAAGAAGGGAAGACCACGACCCCGCCCCTCCCTGTAACCTAGCTCCATTTGGCCTCCCGGAGCCCCGCGCCCGGTCCCCGCCAGGCACTGGCGGGCCTCGGTGGGGGCAGCCCCGCGCCGGCCTTCGCGCCCCGCCCTCGCGCCTACCTTGCGGAGGTGAGCGCCCTGCAGCTTCTTCATCCTGGAGGGCGGTGCTGGCGCGAGCCGGAGCCGGAGCGGACGCGAGCGCAGCCTGCAAGCCAGGCGCGAGGACTCCGTGCGCCCGGCCTCCCGCGCGCCGGCTGGGGTGGGCGCGGGCGCACGCGCTGCCGTCCCGCGGCTGCGGGCGTGGGGCGCCGGCGGGCGCGGGGAAGAACGCCCCTGCCTCTCTGCGCAGCGCCTGAGGCTGGGGAGTCACCCAGACAGACCCGATGATGGACAGACGGCAGCCAGCGAGGGGATGCGCGCGCCCCCGTGCACGCAGAGCTGCGGATTGGAGGGGCCTGGGCGCGGGGAGGGGTGCGCGCTACGGAAACCCAGGGCCTCAGCCACCTCCTGGCTGACCTTGGGCAAGTGACATGCCCTCTCTGGGCTTCCCTGTCCTTAGTTGAGAAAAGAGGGAGGCAGGGGGTGCGAATGGACACGAATAGCTCTGCTTTGGGCCCCAACATCTCTTTGCCCTCCTTTCTTTCTTTCTTCCTTTATCTGGAAAATGGGAGTAACACTGTCACTTCCTTTACAGAGATGTGAGGAAACCAGGGAAATGGAGCATAGAAAACAACTAGCACCGGGCCTGGACCATAGAATCACTCAACTAACCTTGGTAGACTGACTGTGAGGTGCGCACGGCATCAAGCCAAATATTCATCCCATGGTCCAATCTGTATTTGCCAAGGACTCAAAATGGTTCCAGAGCCTGGCATCTGTGGCTCATGCCTATAATCATAGCTTCCTACAAGACTGTGATCTGGAGGATAGTGGTTCAAGGCCAGCCTGGACAGAAAAGTCCTCAGACTCCATCTCCAGAACTACTAGCAAAAAGCAAGACCGGAGGTGTGACTTAAGTAGTAGAGCACTAGTCCTGAGCAAGCAAACTAAGAATCTGAGGCTCAAGTTCAAGGCTGATACTGGCAAAGTAAATATAAAGTAATATAATTCAAGATAATATATTAAAAATAAAACAAAATGTTCCTGATGAGGTGTCTTATTTTCCCAACCTCAGAAGAGAGGTGTTGGGAAATTGAAGGACAGAAAGTTCAGGTAACTTACTTAAGGTTGCGCAGCCAGCGGGTGACACTAGGAACAGTCAAGCTTCATGGGCCTCTCAGGTTATTAGCAGCCCTCAACACTCCTTTGCTTGGGATGTTGATGATGAAACTGGAAGGATCAGGTGAGAGGAAGGGACAGGCAAGGGCCACCATATTTCTGTGATGCTTCGTGACTTTGTCAGCATTAGTCTCTTTTCTACTAGCAGTACAATTTGGGGAAGGTTATAATTTCACATCTGTCCAATGGCCAACCAACCAGTAAGAGCATAATTGACCTCTCAGAAAGTTCTGAGGTACTCCATGAGCCTGCAGCTAGGATGGGAAATGAGGAGCTACAGCAAGTGTGTGCATTGGCTTACTGGGACTGAACACTATCTCGGGGATGGGCACATGTGTTTTGAATGGTGTCCCTTCCCTCTCAACATGTCCTAGTTTGGACAGTAGTCATGGAGATGGTCAGTACTGGCAAAGGAAGAAGTGAGGGTAAGTCTGACTGCTGGAGATTGAAAGGCAGGGAGGATTCAAACCCCAGCATGGACTGGGATAAAGGCCCTGCCTTTTCCCCCAACCCTGTCTAGCTGCTCCTCCCTGCAAGCTTGACCACCCAGACCCAAGAATAAGGAACCTTCTTCATCTGCTGCCCACATAGGACCCAGGGCTGCCCATGAATGTGAAGAGAAGACGGCTACATCTAGGAAGCCTTTCTGTGTGCATTACAGTGGACTTCTATATCGAATAACTGTCTTACTTCTTCCCAATAGACTGAGAAGACAGATTTGTGCATCATTTTACACTTGAGGAAACAGTCCCCAAGGAGTGAAGGTTACACCAAACACGGAATCTGTGGGCCTGGGGAATCCAGACAACAGGGCCACAGACTGTACCTGAAAAGAGACAGAAGCCAGGGACTCCTGAGGAGGCCGAGGGGCACCAGCCCACCCCCTCCTCCAGGGCCTGTGCCTCCTACAGAACAGCCCAATAGGGTAGGGTGAGCAGGGGTTCAGATTTCCCAAGACTGGCCGCAGCTGGAAGAGGAGGGGAGGGAGTACCCTTACTGGGAAGGTGGTATGCAAAGGATTTTTTGAGAGGAGGGAACTGAGGCCCAGGGAGCAAGACAAAAACATTGCACGTGGATTCTAGGAATATGACCCCACTTGGGCTGGACTATTACATACCTCTCTGTTCCCTTTCCCCAGCATCAGCCTCAGGAAGCAAGTAAACTATAGCAGTTTCTGAAGGAGTTGTGTGTGTGTGTGTGTGTGTGTGTGTGTGTACATGTGTGTGCATGCACACATGCCCACACACAAGTCCTGGGGCTTGAACTTAGGACCTAGGCACTGTCCCTTAGCTTTTCTGCTCAAGGCTGGTGCTCTACCACTTGGGCCACAGCTCTGCTTCTGGCTTTTTGCTGGTTAATTGGGGATAAGAATCTTTTGGGGGGGCTGGGAAGGTGGCTCAGTGGTAGAGCACTTGCCTTGCATGCCTGAGGCCCTGGGTTCGATACCTCAGCACCACATAAGCAAAAAGAAAAAAGCTGGAAGTGGCGTTGTAGCTCAAGTGGTAGAGTGCTAGCCTTGAGCTGAAGAGCTGAGGGACAGCACCCAAGCCCAGAGTTCAGGCCCCACGACCAGACCCCCCCCCCAAAAAAAAAGAATCTTTTTGGACTTTCTACGTGGTCGAGCTTAGAACTGTGATCCTCAGATCTCAGCTTCCCAAGTATCTAGGATTACACCAAAAAAAGAGCCACCAGCACCTGGCCTTAGAGGGTGTTGCGTACATCCATCACCCTACTCTTTGAAGCCCCAATTTTGTGACCAGATAAGTGAGAGGAGTGGAATGACCAAACACGATGGGCTAGTCCCTCCCCTGAATTCCAGGGGTTTGGGCACAATAACAATTTAGGAATCCACATAGCAAATACCCTGTTTCTGTTTCTCCCATCCTCCCCTCTGCTCTCTCTTCCTTCCTCCTCTCAGTATTTCTTCTGGTCTCACGTCAAGACAGAAGTGAAATGAAGATGTGTACTGATTTAAGAAAAGTGTGAGATGAAAATGTACTTCCTTTTATTATATAGGGAGATATTTTTAAAGGAATATAAATAAACATGTTTTAATTTGCTTAAACGTTCAGATTCTATCACTGTGGAGCATGTGTTTTGTTACACCAGGAGTGGTGACTGTGAAAAACGAGGTTGCAGACTGCTAGTCCATCTGTTGTGGTGCAGAGAACATCGTTTCTGAGCAGCCCCTGGCCTAGCGAGCTGGGATCGCCCCACAACACTGCCCTGGGCAGGGCTGGACTGGCTGTCCCTCTTTACCCTCTTGACTCTCTGCAGCTCACCTACCCAGGGTTAGGCTAGGATCCAGAGACTCCTGCCACCACAACCTGTTACACACACAGGCAGACATGCATATACATAGATGCATACGCCTGCATGTATGAATGCACACACATACACACCCTCTACTGCTGAGGACCTCCTCTCCCAGAGTGCTCAGCCCTCTGAACCCAGAGGCCCTCTCTAAAACTCAGTTGAGTCTTGTTCTCCTCAGCCCATACTGGTCTTTCGCCAATCAGTGACAGATTGACTCCTCCACAAGACTAGAGTTCTCTGTTGGGGGTGGGTCCTACAGGCTCCCAGAAATTGTCCATAACACATAGTATTGATGGGCATGACTCTGACTGGCAAGAGGCCACCACCAGGCTGTGGACCTTAGAGGGGCAAGCCAGGCAAGGTTTATTTCTGGCTCATTTGCAGCACCACTACATGGCCTGTTGCCTGGCAGAGGGAGTAGGTAACAGACGGTTCACCTAGGCAAAGCAGCATGGCCCTTGGACAGGATGCCTCCTGGCCCCGTGGCGGCTGCAGTCTGGTGAACCTGAGGTGGAGGGGTGCCTCTTTTCTAAGCCATGGCCATGCTTACTTCCATCTCTGGTGGAACTCTGTGGGTGACAGGAAACGCACTGGGCACAGTGCAGCCCATGGCTTTGCTTGGAAATATATACTGAGTAAGCCAGGCTGAGATCTGTGGATCATGGTTTGAAGCCAGCCTGGGCAGGAAAGTCCATGAGATGCTGATCTCCAATTAAACAGCAGCAACAACAACAAAAAAAAACTGTGCAGAAATGGCAAGACAAAGGGTGAACAAATGTAGCAGTGGTTCTCACTGGACATCATGTTGAAAACAAACTACACAACTTGTGGGTGAGGATGGGAGGGGAAAACTGGGAGAAAGCAAGGGAAAGGGAGACATTGTCCAAAAAGAAACGTACTCTTTCCCTGGCTTATGTAACTGTAACCCCTCTGTACATTGCCTTTACAATAACAATTTAAAATTTTTAAGCTGGAAGTGGAGCCTTGACTCAGGTGGTAGAGCACTAGTCTTGAGCAGAAATGCTCAAGGACAGTACCATAAATTCAAACCCTAGGACTGGCACACAGGCGTGTGCATGCACACACTCTCTCTCACACACACAAAGTGAATTAGATGTGTTTGCTTCTTAAAGGAGCTCAAAGACCAATTGGCAAGTGACTGCTAACCTGCTTGTGAGCCCAGCCAACGTCTAGTCCTCCTCTATGGACCAGTACTACAACCCTATGGCCTGCCAGGCCTGGCCACTGGCCTCTTGCCTTAGCTGTCCACAGACTCCATCTGTCTCAGCATAGGGCATTGGCAGACGTGCCAGCATCACACACTAGAATGCAACAGCCCCGTGAGCAGATTCTTAACACACCAGCAACTATTGTGTGTCAGGCCCAAACTACACACCATCTTAGGACCCGTTATTTTATTTCTTTTTGACAAACAGGCAACTGAGAGACCGAGCATTTAAATAAGATGTAAATAAGATGGAAGTCTCTCAGCTTGGAGGCAGCCATGTTGGAATACAACCCATCTGACCACAAAGCCTGCTGCCCTACTGAGGGACAGGGACGTTCTCACAGCTGCCTGGCATTCTAGCACTTCAGATTGCAATGGACTGCCATGGTTTCTGGGAAAGAGGGAGATGAGAGGGCCTGTGGGTAGGAAGCATTGGGAATAATGGATTGAAGAAAATTCAAGTGTTTTATTGCGGTGAGGCTCACAGTCTTTGATGTATTAATGTCCCACTACAACAACCAAAGCATTTCCCAAACCTAGGTGACCAGAGCCATTTCTTTTTTGGAAGATCTCATTGTGTACAACTGGAAAAGGAGGCCCAGAGAGAAAATAGTTACTCCCAAGGTCACACAGCAAATGTTTATAAAGATTAAAAATAATCCCAGCTACTTGGGAAGCAGTGATACAGCATATCATAGTTTGAGGTTTGCTTGGGCCAAAAGAAAAAGCATGAAATGAAAAATAAAGTCAAAGGGGCTGGAGCGTCACTCAAGTATAGCAACCTTGAAGTAGGTCCTGAGTTCAAATCTCAGTATGGCCCGCTATCCTTCCACCAGGACCTCCCCCTGCTCGTGGAATCCTCGTCCTCTATTCTGGTATCAGAATGCCTTGGGGATCCTCTGCTACTCACAAAGCCCTGACTGTTGTACCAGGGCCGGATGTGCCGGGGCCGGATGGACCTCCTGCACTGTGATCATGGGCCCTAGGAGCAAAGGGCGAAGGCAGAAGGCTGCACACACTTTTATGGCCTGGCCACCTCCCAGAACAGTAAACAGAGCGGGAGGCAGCTGGCACCAGGGCCCTCTGGGCTAAAAGGTCCCCAGGCCACAGGCCCACTCACCTCTGGAGGGGATGTGAAAATGAACAGATCTTATCCCAGGGGCTAAACAAACCAACCATTCTCTAGGTTGCTGTTGCTCATGTCCCTTTTTTTCTTTTCTTTTCGTTGGTTCTGGGGCTTGAACTCAGGGCCTGGTCACAGTCCTTGAGCTTTTTTGTTCAAGGCTAGCCATCTATTACTTTAAGCTACAGCTCCACTTCTGGTGTTCTAGTGGTTAATTGGAGATAAAGAGTCTCATAGACTTTCCTGCCCAGGCTGGGTTTAAACCACAGTCCTCAGATCTCAGCCTCCTGGATAGCCAGGATTACAGGGGTGAGCCACCAGTGCCTGGCCTTCCTTGAGGTCTTGATTTAAATGCTGCCGCTTAAGGAAGCCTTCCAGCCTTTCAGGAAAGCCAGCAGCCTGCTCTGTACTCTCCAGATGAGGTTTCCATGATGCTTAGAGCATAGTTCTGAGCGGTCCTTATCTTACCCTTGTATTTAGTGCCACCTGTATACATGGCAGTCTTTCCACTAGAGTGGGGTTGTGGGTGGCAAGGACTGTATGCTTCCAGGTGACAGCCATTTCTGGCTCAAAAGGGTGACAGATGAATCCCACTGTCTGAACTAGAAATATTTAAAACTTCAAAAGACCAAGAGATGGAGCCTGATGATGCTGCTTACAAAGCAGACTCTCATTTACTCAGGCTCATAGACTTTCTCTAACCATGTGCTGTTTTGATCTTTTAAATGGATTTTGAAGGTGACCTTGTAGGCCTACAGAACAGAAAGGAAATATACAATTGTTAGGGAAAGAGGAGGATAATTTCACTTCTTTTTTTTTTTTTTCTTTAATGTTATGTATAATGATTTTATACAGTTGTGGTTTTTAATTTTTTTAAAGGGGGAAATTTTTATTCTTGAAGCTGTTTCCAAGAGATTCCACTCTCTCTCTGTCTATGTAACACTTGTCCAGTGGCAAGTTCCACTTGGTCCATAGAAACAGGCTTGCTGGGTCATGATGGACGGCTTAGTGGGAGCTAGGAGCCAGTGGCAGGCAGCTGGTGGTAGAAGCTTCTGACTCCTTCTCCCAGCAGGAGCTTCCCCTCTGTCCTGAGGCCTCCTGGGAGTTCAGGGGAATAGCTAAAGATGGTGGTAGAGCCTCTCTCTCAGGCCCAGTGCTGTCAGCCTCCAAGCTGGAGTGAGTCAGAACAGCCAGGATGGGGTAGGTATACAGGTAAGGCTGCAGGAAGAAGGCAGAGCTGACCGCACCCCTGCCCTGGCCCCTCCAGATGGTCTGGGGGCATGCCATCTTCTCTGACCCATATCCCCGACCTCCAGGTTCAGCCAGGTCCCTAGTGCAGCCCCCCACCCCCATTTCACCCCATGAATCTGTTGGGGAAGTAGGAGAAGGGCCTGGGAACTTATCTTTTCCTCCCCTGCAGCCACTGGGCCTTGAGACACCCCCAGGAGTCTGAGACCTCATGCACAGTCAAGGGTACAGGTCAAGGGGTTCAGGAATGTATGGGTGGCTTGTCTCTGGTGACCCCAAAGGTCAGTGGCAAGGCTGGTACTCACACCAGGCCTCTTAGAACCCAGTAGAAGCTGAGTTGCCAGCACCTGAACCCCCAGACTCCAGCCCCAGGCCTGGAAAGGCTAAGGCAGAAATTCTTCCTTGACAGACATGGGGGACGAGGCTCCCAGGAGGCCAGCGTTGTTGGGGCACAGGCTTCCTAGAGGTGCGCCAGCAGGCGCAGGGGTGCTGGCCAGTACTGGGGGCAGCTGCTGGGGTGGAGGTGGTGGCTGCTGCTGCTTCTTCTTGTTCACTTTGCGCTCCTTGGCCCGCCGGTTCTGGAACCAGATCTTCACCTGTGGCATCACAGAGCAGACATGGGGGGTGGGGGGTGAGGGGCCAGGCCACAGGTGGCATCACAGAGCAGACATGGGGCAGGCGCCACCTCAGGTGGTGTTGGTGACTTCCTCCCTGCTCCAGCCATGAGACCTCAGGGATCTCAAGCACTCTGTCCTGGTTTAGAGCTTTCTCTTCTTCCCCAGATACCCTGCTCCTAGCCTCCCTCCAACCTCCTCCAAGGCTTCAAGGGAGCCTGCCTGAGCTCTCCACCCTGGACCTGGGCCCTGGGCCCCACTCCTGCCCTGCCTGTCAGTTACCCCCAGCCCTGACCATGGCCAATGTAGCTTATGGTGAGCCAGACTCCTGCTCCTGTGCAGGGCAGGAAAGCTAGGTTCACCAAGCTGCCTGGCAGTCACTGGGGTCTTCTGTGCTGTGCCCATGATCGGGAGACTCCTGCTCTCCATCCTCCCTCTCAGAGCTCTGAAATCTGCAGAGCAGCCCAAAAACCAGACACCAGGGCTGAGGTGGGAGCCACACATACCTGCCGCTCAGTGAGCCCCAGATTGGCGGCCAACTCTGACTTCCTCCGGATGGTGATGTAGCGGCTGTAATGAAACTCCTTCTCCAGTTCCAGGCGCTGGTGGTCCGTGTAGACCACACGGTATTTGTCCTTGGTCCGAGTCTTACCTGGGAAGCAGAAAGGAGGGAGGGGGGAGTGTGTGAGGAGGAGGGTCCTTGATGGCATGGGAGGGGAGAGGGGGAGGGTTACCCAGTTTTCTGGCTGAGCCCTGCAGCCAGCTGTAAGCCAGCAGGAGCTGGGGACAAAGCAGGACACATGCCGGTGGGATCTGTATGTGTGAGACTCCAGGTGGATATGGATGGCTTTGGGGTCCCCAGATCATAAGTATGGACCCCAGAGCCACGAAGAGTACACCCGGCAGGCTGGAACAGACTAGGATTGAAGGGGTCCACTACCGTTCCCTCCTGTGCTAGACAAGAGGCAGACGAATTCTGCAGCTGTCCTGGGCTGGCACCCCCAGTTTGGCCAAACGCTAGCCCCAATGTCAGACAGGAAGTCCTGAGCCTGCTGGTGGACCCTCAAGCCTGCAGGGTGCTTCAGAAGACACCACACCTGGCACTAGGGCTGCATTGGTAACTGGGGCTGCTCTGCCCAACCCTCCACCCAGAGCAGAAAAATCTCTGCTCTCCTGAAGCGTGGGCTCCAGGGGAGGATTGCCTGAGCCTAGAAGTTGGAGACCAGCCTGGCAACACAATGAGAGCTCATCTAAAAACAAACAAAAGCAAAGTGTAAACAAAGTAGCCCTTGAGAGTCCCACTGAGAAGAGAAATTGGAGCTAGGAATTGAAGGAGGTGAGGAAGGAGGCACTTGAATATCTTGAAGGGAAGGATTCTGGCTAAGGGAACAGCAAATGCCAAGGCCCTGAGGTAGTAACATGTCTGCCATCTGACTGAGAAACAATGAGGAAGCTGACAGGGAGGTGGGGATGGTAAGCAAGGAATATGGGAACAGGAGACAAGGGGAGAAATTCTGGGTTTACTCTGTCCTAGATGGAAGCCATTACAAGGTTCTCAGTGGAGCAGACATGCCATCTGAGGTACGGTTCCATGCTCCTTTGGCTGATGCATAGAAACAGCCTGGGAAAGGAAGAGGTGGTACAGGAGGCTTGTAATCACCCAGCAGGGAGAGGCAGTGGCTGGGCTCAGGCTGAGCCAGAGCTGACTTGAGACCTGGGCTTGAGGCCCTCTGAGGTGCAGGTCAGGGGCTGGAAGCGGAGGCCTGTCTGGGGAGGGCTGTCTGGAGACTCATGTTTGGCTTGGGCTTGTGTGGGGGCCTGGCTAAACACCAGCTTCCTTTGCAAAAAAGCTGAGCTTGTGGCTATAAACAGGAGGGGCATGCCAGCGCACATGCGTCCAGCGGCACTTGGGGAGTCTCAGAATCATCACAGAGCCTCCCCCACCTCACCTCCCTGAGCCTGGGCCCCAGCTTGGCCACCCCCCAGCATCCTGGATGAAGCCCTGCCTCCCTCCACACTGGTCGCTGTGCCTGTACCAGGCCCCCGCAGCCTGGCAGCCCGTGCCCAGCTCCTTGAGAGCCAACATGGGAGACAGCAGATGCTCCTGGGCGGCTTTCCCCGGTGCTTCCTGCCAGAGCAGCACCGCCGAGCTGGACGCTTCCCTAGGCAGTGACCGCAGTCTGCTCTCCCGCAGCACGGGGCAGCTTCGGCTCTTGGCCAGGCCTGGCCCCAGCAAAGCCAAGGGAGGGACTGACCAGGCCTTGGCTCCAGATAGGGCCCCTCCTTGGCCTAGAAAATGTCGAGCCTGGCTCAAAAACAACTCTGCCTAACAACCTCTCCTCCTGAACCTAGCATGGCTGTGACTGAACAGCCCACTGGCTCAATGGGACGCAGCTAGAAGAGGCCCAGGGAGTTCCGTTCCATCCTCTTCCATTTTACCAATGAGGAGACTGTGGTTCAGGATGGTCCCCTGAGAATCAGAGGGCCATGTCATGAACCTGGCAAGCTCCTCCAGCTCAGCCCTCTGTGGAGTCAAGGTCACTGGAGGTGCAAGCCTGCCTAAGGCCAGGTCTCCCCACAACTCCCCCCACCCCCCAGCTCTTTCTACTCCCTCCAGTCACACCTCGTTTGGCCATATTTTAGGCCCACTGAGTCTGCGATGGATTCTCTAAGCATTACAACAGCCTTAGAGAGCAGGCTCCCCTTCCACCCTACTTTTGGGATAGGTGGGGTTAGGGCAGGGTAAAGGCAAGCCCTCAGGAGCCCAGCATGGTTGGTTTGAACAGACTGCAAGCTGGAGTGTTTTTTGTGGGTTTTTTTTGTCGGTCATGGGGCTTGAACTCTGGGCCTGGGCGCTGTCCCTGAGCTCTTCAGCTCAAGGTGAGCACACTACCCCTTGAGCCATAGTGCCACTTTAGGCTTTTTCTGCTGAGGAATCGAACCCAGGGCCTCATGCTATGTGAGGCAAGCGCTCTACCACTGAGCCACCTTCCCAGCCCCAAGCTGGAGTCTTTAAAAATGCCTACAGGACTGGGTGCCAATGGATCACACCTGGAATCCTAACTACTTAAGGCTGAAGCTGGGCGCTGGTAGCTCATGCCTGTAATCCAAGTTACTCAGGAGGCTAAGAGCTGAGGATCATGGTTCAAAGCCAGCCCTGGCAGGAAAAGTCCGAGAGACTATTATCTCCAATAAACTACCAGAAAACAGGAACTGGTGCTGTGGTAGAGCACTCACCTTGAGCTGAAGAACTGAGGGACAGCACCCAGGCCCAGAGTTCAAGCCCCACATCTTAACCCCCACCCCCTCCGAAAATAAGGCTGAAATCTGATGATCCTGGTTCAAAACCAACTCAAAGGCAGGAAAGTCCATGAGACTCTTTTTTCCAATGAACCACCAGAAAACCAGCAGTGAAGCTGTGGCTCAAAGTGGTACAGTGCTAGTCTTGAGCAAAAGAGCTCAAAGACAGCACCCACACCCTGAGTTCAAGCCCCAGTACTGGCACCAAAAAGAAAACAAAAACAAAAGAAAGGAAGGAAGGAAGGAAGGAAGGAAGGAAGGAAGGAAGGAAGGAAGGAAGGAAGGAAGGAAGGAAGGAAGGAAGGAAGGAAGGAAGGGAGGGAGAGAGAAAGAAAGAAAAAGAAAAGAAAAACATGTTCCCAGAAACTTAAAGCCGCTCCAGGAGATAGGACTGAGCAGGATGAGAGAGGATGACACTTCCTGCCCAGCAGGTCTCCACCTGAGCAGTACCAGGCCAAGTCATGAAGGCAGCTTTCCCTCAGCACCTGGCACTCCTTTGGCCTGCCTCGTGAGCCACAGAGCTTCGGTCTAGTTGTCTCACTGAGGGAACTGGGGCCACCCAGCTGAGTGGTGATGTAAACTAAGACCTGGTATCCCAGCCCCTGCTGTGCCTCTCCAGGATGCCAGGGGCGTGGGACTAGACGGAGACAGGGCGTGGTGGCATAATGCTGTGCTGGCCTGGCCCAGGCTGCAGAGGAGACGTGGCCCTCAGGCCGCAGTGTCCTCTCTCTGGCTCTGGAGACCATGGTGGACTTAAGAACACAGTGGCTGACTGCTCTCTGGCCCAGTTGCTTAAAGAACACAATTTTACTGCCATGAAAACAGTTCTTCCAGAGAACAAAATGTTTCTCTATGTGGCCCAGAAACCAGGGAGTCCCACATGCTGTCCAGGGAAACATTTTAGAAACGTCTAGCCTCTTTTAACAAGCACGGAGCTTTTGACCCATGAACCCCACTTCCAGGTGTAGACTCACAGCCAGCTGCCTTAGCTGTAGCCACTCCCACCAGTACAAGCCTAAAAATAATGTACCTGTGTCCATGAAGGGTACTGACTAAACAAGATACAGGGACATCCACAGGGAGGTAGTCATTCAAAAGAAATTAATAAAACTCCAGATGTGTAATATGGGGCAATTTCTCTAAGATATTTGATAACAGCAAGATATCAAATGGTGTAAAAAGTTGGCCACTATTTTTGTATAAGACAGACAGACAGACACACGTACATACACAATTTGTGCATCCTATATTGTCTGTAGCTCTGTGTATATTATTATTATTATTTTGGTGGTGGTGGTGGTGGTGGTCATGGGCTTGAACTCTGGGCCTGAGCACTGTCCCTGAGCTCTTCAGCTCAAGTCTAGTGCTCTACCACTTGAGCTATAGTGCCACTTCCAGCTTTTTCTGCTTGTGTGGTGCTGAGGAATTGAAGCCAGGGCCTCATGCATGCAAGGCAAGCACTGTACCACTGAGCCACCTTCCCAGCCCTATTTTATTTTATTTTATTTTTTAAGGTTGATGAAGCTTCCTTTGGAGAGGGAGGCTAGAGATAGAAAGTTATAGGCAAGAGGGAGACTTAGAATATTTAAATTTTTACAGTGTGTAGATGTGAAATATCTCTCTCTGTCTCTCTCTCTAATTTTTAAGTCAATCCTGGGGCTTGAACTTTGGGCCTGAGCACTGTCTTTGAGCTTTTTTGCTCAAGGCTAGTACTTAACCACTTGGGCCACAGCTCTACTTCTTGAACTTTGGTGGTTAATTGGAGACAAGAGGCTAATAGCCTTTCCTGCCCAAGGGTAGCTTCAACTATGATCCTTAGCACCCAGCCTCTGAGTATCTAGGAATACAGGCATGAGCCACTGGCACCCTGGCTATGAATTATATATATATATACATATATGTATTTTAATTTAATTTTTTGTTGGTCATAGGGCTTGAACTCTGGGCCTGAACGTTGTCCCTCAGCTCTTCAGCTCATGGCAAGCACTCTACCACTTGAGCACAGCACCACTTCCAGTTTTCTGAGTGGTTTATTGGAGAGAAGAGTCTCATGGACTTTCCTGCCTGGGCTGGCTTTGAATCACAATCCTCAGATCTCAGCCTCCTGCATAGCTAGGATTATAGGTATAAGCCACCAGTGCCCAGCGATGAATTATATTTTTAATAACAGTCAAGAGTCCTGTGCTCCAGGCTCAACTCTATTCAGAGTGATTGCCTGAGCCATCCTACCTATTTCCCACCTCAGAGCACCTGTGTCACCTTGGTACCCCAGAAGGGGGGGTCAGGGTGGTGCGTGAGAGCAGCAGGGTGGGGAGAGGGCCTGGATGAATGATTTACAGGCTCTTGGGACAC